CTTGCGAGTGCTGAGCAAGCGCCCGGCGCATGTGACTGCTTCAGGGTTTAGGGTTTAGGGTTTAGGGTTTAGGGTTTAGGGTTTAGGGTTTAGGGTTTAGGGGACAAGCCTTGAGCATGTGGATTGGCCAATTACGTATTTCAATTGTGCCAGGTTGCGTAGTCCTGCCGAAAGGGCAGTTCTCTTGGGCTCGGTCGTCTCTCCGGCGTGGATGGCAGCCATCCCAGAAATGGATGTCTCTTCGCATAGATGTCCTTTCTGTGGCTTGCTCAAAGCTTCTTGGGAACACTGTGTTTACAGTGCACACACAACAAACACAGACTGGCGCAACTTCCTGCTGATCCCTGGCAGGCTCGTTTCGGATGGCCGTTGGGCTCATCTAAGGAAGATCGTCAGGTCCTCTTTGCGATGGGCGTGTACCTTAAGAACCCAAACCCCACTTCTGTAGGCTCTTCTTATATAAACCCTTCTAGGGTTCTCATGCAACCCCAAAAAAACCCTTAGCTTGTTTGGGCTCTTATACTGTAAGCCCTTTATAAGATTACCCTAAACCCTAACCCTAAACCCGCCCAAAAAGCTAGCTTTTTTGGGCTCTGCTAATCATTGGTTCTTGCAACACTTCCATGTCCCCCCCAACCCCCGAAGCCCAAAACCTAAGCCCTGGAAGGCAGCTGGGGTTTAGGGTTTAGGGTTTAGGGTTACAGGGGCCCTAGACTGGGTCCTATAGGTCTTATTGACAATCGCTTAACTCTAGTTCGCATGGTAAGCTGACCTTGAGCCCGTGCACTCGAAACCCTCAACCCTAAACCTAAACCCTAAACCCTACACCCTACACCCTAAATCCTAAAACCCAAACCCTAAACCCTAGCCCTAAACCCTAAACCCTAAGCCCTCCTGCAACCAGGTGCTGCCGGGCCCTTCCCGGCTGCCGGGCATGCCAGGCCTAAGTGGCGGGGAGGGCGGGGTTCCTTTTCGGGGTTTAGGGTTTAGGGTTTAGGGTGCAGATGTCGGGAGTGGGGGGGGGGGGGGCAGGGTCGCTTTGGGGGTTCTTGCTTTCGGGGTTCTGGAGGGTTTTAGGGTGTAAGTCCTTCGAAGCTGAGTTACCCTTTTGGGTTCTGGGTTCCCTTACAAGTAGCGACTTCGGGGCGCAAGTATGTTGAGGTCCGTGGACCCTTGCGAGGGGGTTTAGGGTTTAGGGTTTAGGGTGTATAGGGTGTATAGGGTGTATAGGGTGTATAGGGTGTATAGGGTGTATAGGGTGCATAGGGTGCATAGGGTGTCTAGGGTTTAGGGTTTACGGTTTAGGGTTTAGGGCTCAGTTTTCCGGAGGCGACCGCGCGCCATCGAAGTCTGTGCCGCGGAGCAGCCTGGTTACCACATGTTTCTTTTTGGTCTCTTAGGGTGTCTTAGGGTTTCAAGGGTTTAAAAGGTTTATAGCGTTTATTATGGTTCATAGGGTTCATAATTAGAGTTTGGGATTTAGGTTGAGGTTCAGGCTTTAGGGTTCAGGGGCTTAAGCTAGTATCCTATGAGAGCTCTTGCAGTTAGGAGGCCAGGCTTGGAAGACTTGAGCTGGCAACTATCTGTATGGGACAAGTCCTCTCAATTCGTTTAAGCCTAAGATCCCTCTCAACCCCTAAAAACCCCAAAAGCCCAAGAATTCTTCTGCCAATCTGAGACTGGGTAGTTAAACCACACATCTCAAGAGAAAAGCCTCCATCCCTCCCAAATAAGTAGCAATCTTAAGCTAAGCAAAAACAAACATGAACATAAACAAGGTTCAGGGTTTGCGCTAACGAGCTGAGCCCCAGAAGGGCGCCTGCTTCATCCTTAACTCTAAACCCTAAACCCTAAAACCCTAGTCATGAACGAGGGAGAACGGTGGGACGCCGGCATGCTCGAGCATTCTTGGGAGTGTAGGGTTTAGGAAGAGGGATTATTGCTTCGGATCTTAGGGTATGGGGTTCAGGGTTTCGGGTTTTTGGGATGAACTCACACCCTGCGCTCCAGAACAGCCCCCATGCCTAGAACCCGATGCCCGCACACCGAGCCCTGAAGCTCGCACACCCCCACTTCGAGGTAAGTCCTCCTCGGCCTTGGAAACGAGGCCGGAGTGCTTTTAGGGTTTAGGGTTTAGGGTTTAGGGTTTAGGGCCTTTCTGGACCCCCCAATTTAGTCATCGCCAAGGCCTAGCTACCGGTTGTTTGTAGGCCAGAGGCCACGATGATGGACACCCCTCGGTGTTTTCGACACCGCCCCAACATTCAGAGGAATCTTCTCACTTCGGAGAACCCCGAATGTCCCTTACCAGGGTCCCTCCTTTAGTTCTTCAAGCCCGAAACACTAAACGCTAAACCCTAAAACCCTAAACCCCTTAGGGTTTAGGGTTTAGGGTTTAGGGTTTAGGGTTTAGGGTTTAGGGTTTAGGGCTGAAGGGTCCCGCACACGGGGAGCGCCCAGGCAATGAGCATCGAGTAAACGGAAAGAGCTTTGGGCTAGGTGCCTCCTAAACCTTAACCGCCCGAAGCAGAGAGTCTGGAGGACCGCCTCCCTTGAGCCCTACCGCAAGAAGCCGTGCCATTGAGTCGAAGTTTTTTTGTTTTGATTTCCGCGTTCCTAAGGAGGAGTACGAAAAGAGCCCCGAAAGTATACACCTCCCTAGATCTAAACGCCTAACCCCCCCCCCCCCGGGCCCTAACCCTGCCTGGCCCCCATTCCCCCAAGGTTGCTACGAATCAGGTAAGTCGGGTTACAGGTAAACCCTAAACCTTCAAAGCTCAGGAAGCCCTACGCGGTTCAGCCGCCGCCGCCGCTGAAGATGGGGACCGACTGCGGGGTAATGGGGGTTTAGGATGTTTTGTTTTTTTGGTTTAGGTTTTTGGGTTTAAGGTGTTTTGGGTTCCGGGGTTTGGGTTTTAGGTTTTCTCAGGGTTGGCAAGTAACAAAAACCGTAATTTTCCTGCGATCTTCTGCCATACCGCCCCCTAGACCTGACGCTAAGGGTCAATGCGCTCCAATAGGGTATTCTAGAACGTTAACGTACTTCCCATATCATGACTTCGGGGCTCAAGTGTATACAGCAACGCTTTTGAATAAGTGGAGCCCCCAAGCCACGGAGGTAGCATAAAAGTACTGTTTAAGCTGTGTATTTGAACACCACCCACACCTAGACCCCCACCACCCCGTAGCGTGGTAGGGGTGGTAGGCGTGGTAGGGGTGGTAGGCGTGGTATGGGTGGTAGGGGTAGGCTAGCGGCCCGCTCGTTCAGCAAAAATTGCCCTGTCGCTGCGAGCCCCGACCCTGCATATTAGTTTCTGTTTAAGCTTTACATTTAACAATCCGCACGTTTAACATAAAAATGGTCACCGTGCCATTCTCCGGCGGAGCCTCTGATGAAATGGAGAAGATACCCTTCAAAAAGCCAAAACCTACTTTTCGCAGGTTTTTTTTTTCCCGTTCTAGGTCTCTTAGGTAACCTACCCCTGCACTTCCAGGGACCAAATTGTGACCGAAGAGTTAGGCTACTAGAACCCTTAAGGACCCGATGCTTCGGTCCCTGGAAGTAAAGGATACACCAATTTGAGCCGTCGGGTTGAGCCTATCCCGACTCGGCTGCGCAGTGGACTGTGACGCCTCCCTTTGTGTTTCTGATGAAACTCACCAGCAGCAAAAAAAGCTGCTATACTGAGGCTCAAAATATCCCAAAAACCTTATGTACGAAGGCCTTCTGGCCCAAAAACCCTAAAACGGAGGCCTTAGAGGCTTACCAACCTTCCTGCAGCCCCAATCCTCCGTTTGGGGCAGGCAGAAACCCTAAGCCCTAAACCCTAAACACTAACCCTAAACCCTATAGAGGGGGCCCTATACCGGAAACGTGCAGAGGAAGCTACACTTGAGTGGCATTCGAACGCCCTCAGCGCGGCAGGAGAAGGACGGGCAGCAACATTGCGCAACAGGGATGAAGGGGTTCTCAGGTCTTTGGGACGACCCTAAACCCTAACCCTAAACCCTAAACCCTAAACCCTAAGCCCTAAGCCCTAAACCCTAAACCCTGAACCCAACAACCCTAAACCATGTTTAGGCTTTGTGGGCTTTGGGGGCACGAGCTTGCAGATCCAGATGTCTCACAAAACCCGAATGAAACCCCAACTAAACCCTACACCCTAAACCTTAAACCCTAAACCCTAAACCCTAAACCCTAAACCCTAAACCCTAAACCCTAAACCCTAAACCCTAAACTATTGAGAGGTTATTTTGGGGTACCTTTTTTGGGGGCTCTTGCAGGCAGCTTTGCAGGCTCAAGCACTGAACCAAGCAGGCCTTACAAACACTGGCAAATCATAATCAATTTTGGGTTTAGGGTTTAGGGTTTAGGGTTTCTCTATTTTGTAGGAGTAAACCCTAAATCCCGTAGGAAGTGACCCTTCTCGAGCTTCTTCCGGCATTCAAATCTAGGCTTCTGGAGAAGCCTCTGCCAACTTTGTACACCCGAAGCTACAGTGTGGGGTCCGTTTTGCTCAGTGAACCTACCCGAAACCCTCAACCCCAAACCCTAAACCCTAAACCCTAAACCCTAGAAATTTGCTTTCGCTTCTGCACGGCAGCTGCAATGGCCGGCGGAGGCGACGCGAGGGGCCTTCAGCCCTGAGTCAACGAACCCTAAACCCTGAACCCTAAACCCTAAACCCTAAACCCTGAACCCTAAACCCTAAACCATTTCAGCTCTCTTTTTATATTCCCCTTTTTGTCAATTATTTTGAATTTTTATTTATATAAAACCCAAGAGGATATTTAAAAAAAGAGTACTTTTATTGAGGTTCCAAGGGGAGTATAGCTTTGGGGTTGAGGGTTTGATAGGGTTTGGGGTTTATGGGTAGGGCTGGTTATGAGCTCTGAAACATCCTGCAAAACCTATAGTTGGGCTTTAGGGTTTAAACCCTTAAACCCTATAGTGGGGTTTAGGGTTTAGGGTTTACGATTCTACGACACTCTGACGCGGAATGCTGCGCATCAGCATGCTCTCGGGGGTAGAGCTGACGTTCCCGGTGGAAGAGCTTAGCGATGTTCGTGCCTTAAAGCAGACGCTGCATCGCCTGCACGGTATGCCGCCACGATTCAGGCAAAGCTTGATCCTGGACGGCTGCTTTGTCTTCATAGAATTTATTTATAGGGTTGACAAGGTTTTGCAGTGTTGAAAGGGTTTTGAGGGTTTACAGGGTTTACAGTGTTTATAGGGTTTATGGGGTTTAAAAGGTTTATAGGTTTTACAGGGTTTACAGGGTTTATAGGGTTTATAGGGTTTATATGGTTTTTTAGGGTTTATAGGGTTTAGGTTGTTTTGGAGATTCCACGGTCTTAATAGCCTTCAGAGGACCCCGTCGTTCAGTTGTCAGGTAGTATGCTGTATACTTATAGGGTTGGCCCTTGGTACCTTTTTTTCCTGATCTAAGGTTTAGAGAGTCCTTTCGAAAAGCAGCCTAGGCCAGGATCTTCCTGACGATACCCGGCTGGACTCCCCTTTGGACCTGGAGATCGTCCTCATGAGCTTTCTCGAGATTTCGCAGGAGCAAACCTTTGGGCCCTGTTTACCTGTAGATTTGTAGGTAAGTACCCGCTATGTTGTAGGTATAGCCCTGAAAACGGTAGGAAACAGGGTCCTGAAATTGGGGGTCATCTACCCTATACTATAATCCCTATTAAGGTATTATGAACCACGAACCATTCTAGGGTTGCCCCCAAGGGAATTTTCGCAGGAGCAAGCTGACAAACTCGTGCGTGCCTGCGAGTATGGCCGTCAGGACGAGGCGGGATTTGGGGGTTTCGGGTTTAGGGTTTAGGGTTTAGGGATACCAGGGGTACCTTATTGCGGTCCTTTGTATTCAGGGGATCCGACTATTTGGGGGTGTTATATTAGAGGTCCCTTATTTTCGTAAACTCCCATTTGTTTCTCGACAGTTTGGCGCCCCGCGGTGCGGAGTCCATGGACTGTTTCCTTCAGATCCGCTTTTCAGGGTTGAGGGTTTAGGGTGTAGGGTTTAGGGTTTCTTCCAAGAAGCAGAACTACGAGTCCATGAGCAGCCCGAAAGATCCTAAAAGCCCAAACCCTGAAACCCCAAACCTTAAACCCGGAACCCCAAAGCCCAACCCCTAAACCCTTAACTCCAAACCCTAAACCCCAAACCCACAAGACCGCACATCGCACAGGTTGACAGAATGCTGCGGGCACCCTACGACCCCAATCGGGCCGACCAATTTGGCACGCGGCCGCTGGTCAGGGCCTGCAAGCTCCCTGAAAACCAAATGGTTTAGGGTTTAGGGTTTAGGGTTTAGGGTTTAGGGTTTAGGGTTCCCAGCAAACCAACTGAACCCTTAAGTTGGGTTCACAAACCCCATACTCCTATATTTCCTGTTCAGGAATGTCCCTAAACCCTAAACCCTAAACCCTAAACCCTAAACCCTAAACCGTAAACCCTAAACCCTAAACCCTAAACCCTAAACCCTAAACCCTAAACCCTAAACCCTAAACCCTAAACCCTAAACCCTAAACCCTAAACCCTAAACCCTAAACCCTAAACCCTAAACCCTAAACCCTAACCCCCTAAAACCCTAAACCCTAAACCCTAAACCCTAAACCCTAAACCCTAAACCCTAAACCCTAAACCCTAAACCCTAAACCCTAAACCCTAAACCCTAAACCCTAAACCCTAAACCCTAAACCCTGAACCCTAAACCCTAAACCCTAAACCCTAAACCTTGTGGGGTCCATTTCGTCCCCAAGGCTGGGCTCCACCGAATCGGT